TCCCGGGCGGACACGCGCTCGCCTGAAGTTTATGAATGGGGCCCTCTTGGCATTCTGCCCCAGCGCTTTCTCTCCTCCAGCCCTTTCGTTAATGGGAGTTTAAACCCCACGGCCGGGCCGTTCCCACCTTCCGGGGCCGCGGATTGGCTCCCTTTCTAAGCGACCCGGCTCCTCCCACTCGTGCTGACACTTCGCGGGTGGCTGGAGAGCCAAGCGCAAAGGCGAGGAGAGAAGCGGGACCGAGGAGGCTCCCTTGGAAAGCTCCGGCCACAAAAGGGCGGGGAGGGGCGGGGTGGGGGCCGCAAAGGACTCTTCTTCGTCTTCTTCTTCTTCTTCCCGCCCGGACCCACCTTTCCCCGGGAAGCCGCCGGACGGGACCCCCTTCTCCCACCCCGTAAGTGAGCCCGGCGGCGGCGAGGACCAGATGGGGCAAGGATGGAGGAGCGCTGTGTCTGCGTGGCATGGTGTCCGTCCGCAATCGGCTTGCCTATTGCGGAGAGCAGCAGCAGCGGCGGCGGCGGCTAAGAAGAGTCCCGGGTGTTTTTGCCTTGGCTCGGTCCCGCAGCTGCTTCTGGCGGCGGGCGAAGACAACCTTGCAGGGCTGATGGTCCGCTTTTGGCTGTAGGATGCCCGCCCGCCCGTCCGTCCCCAGGGCCGTTGAGTAGGATTAGCGGTGGACTTGTTGTCCCCTCTCCGCCCATCCTTTAAAGCCGAGTTGCTAAAGCTGGCGGGGTGCGATCTTCCGTTTTCAAGACCGCTCCTCTTTTACACCCTTACTTGAGAGAGTAGTTAGCCCGGCTGAAACGGCGGGACTTAGGGTGGTTGGAGGAGCCCAGGATTAGGGTGGTGGCTTGTGCAGTTGTCCCTCTTGATTAGTGGCACTTCTCTCTCTCTCTCTCTCTCTCTCTGGACGCCTTTCCTTCCCTCCCTCCCGGCATTGCTTGCCCGCCCTGTGAGTATCCCCTGTGCAGGGGAGGTGGTGGGGGCATTGCTTGCCCGCCCTGTGAGTATCCCCTGTGCAGGGGAGGTGGTGGGCCTATGCTGGCCCCTGCGTACCTGGAGCCTTGGGTTGCAGCAGGGAGTGTTGAAAAGGATGCTCCCAGGAGTCCCTGCCCACATGGCCAATGCAGAGATTATGGGGAGAGTATAGCGTACTCTGGGTGCATGAATGAAAACAGCAGCAGGTCGCCTGAAATGTTCAGTTGATTTTTGAGCGGATACAATGAAACCTGTACTGGATTCTACATCAGGCGAGGATCCCTGACCATCACCTTCTCACGCCTGGGCACCTGTTATTTATTTGAATGGATCGACTATCTGTGGGCTTTGTGCGGAAACCAAACTCTGGACAATATGACAGGCTTTTTTTGGAGGGGGGCTTCTCTACACCTGGGAGGTGTGCAGGGAAGATCAGATTATTTTCCTTGAATTGATAGGTTGGTCAATATGCCATCTACTGATTTTATTTATTTATTTAATTGGAAAGACACACCTGAGTAGAAAACAATATGGGTTAGAACTTGGGCTTTGTTGCTTCTTTGTGTCTGTGTGCAGGCATGCTGGTTTTGTGTGTGTGTGTGTGTGTGTTTCAGTAAAGGTAAGCAGATGATTGTCATAGCTCCTGCCTGTCTTTGGGTGTGCGCATTATATAATTGTTTTGTAGGTTCTTTCAGTCATCACCGCTCTCTTTACGAGTGCGGTGTCTAGCTTGCTTTCTACCACAGCGGTTAATCTTTGTGCTATCTATCTATCCCATCCCAGATCCTCTAATTCAACTGCGGTTCCCCCTCCCAGCTGGCTGGATATGATGGATTTTGTAGTCCATCACACAGGTATACTGGAAAGGCAGTCAGCTGAGAAGTGGGCATATCCGAAACCTTGGCAAAGAATCATCTGCCTTTACAACTCTGTTCCCTCTTTTTATTCATATCGAATGTTAATATCTTCTTCATTCTTCTTTCGACATTGCTGTGTGACCACAGGTGACAAGACTGGGGTTTGTCACACTGAACATTTCCTTGGCTCAGAGATCTCCTGGTCTCAATGCACTGATCATGCTCTAAGGAAGACAATGGGGAAAGGACTGCTAATGCGAATCACCAGATTAATAATGTAGATTACAATCATGGACAGCTTCTTAGTTGTGCTTGCGTTGTCATCATAACCATTATGACTTGCCTTATAGGTTTTTCCTTCCCTTTTTGTTGTTGTTGTTTTGTTTTCTGAGGGAAAATTGAGCCCTGCACTGTTCTGTTTAGCTTCTATTCATCTGGCCAGATCTTGCAGTTGTTTGGCTGCTGCTGTTGAAAATCAACATTAGTCAGCTCCAGGGATGTCCACAGACTAAGGTAAAAAAATAAAAAAGTATTATTATAAGATGGTGGCTCTAGTCTAGCCCAATACTCAAAGCCCCACCTCTTTTTATGTGGACTTTTGCATATGATACACAGAAAGGGGGTCGGGTGGGGTGTGCTGCAATCACACAACCAGGCGGTTATTTAGGCCTTTTTTTCACCACCTCCTGTGAACATTCCTAAGCAGCTTCTGGTCATTCTGTTCTACCATATGGCTTCCACCAGAGATAGACCAGGAACTCCCCTTCTCGGCTTTCTTGAGACCGGCAGGCAGGTGCCGCCTCTCTCACATCTCCAATAGGCACTACGCAATGTGTAAGTTTGTTTGTTTATATATTTATTTCAGAGGTCTCCAAACATGGCAACTTTAAGACTTGTGGACTTCAACTCCCAGAATTCCTGAGCTAACATGACTGGAGGAGGAATTCTGGGAGTTGAAGTCCACAAGTCTTAAAGCTGCCAAGTTTGGGGACCCCTGATTTATTTGATTGCCAACTCATCTCCCCCCCGCTCCCCAGGCATTCAAAGTGGCTTAACATGAGGATCTCCGCAACCCTATATTCTCACAAACAGGATCCCTGGAAGGTAGGCTGCGGCTGCAAGGGGGACCCAAAAGTCCATAAGTTATCAATAACAGATAACACATAATCAGAATCGGAAGGGACCTTGTAAGTCATCTAATCCAACCCCACACCCAAGCGGGAGAACCGACACCATTTCTGACAGATGACAGTCCAATCTCTTCTTGAAAGTCTCAAGTGATGGCGCTCCCACAACTTCCGAGGGCAACTTCTGTTCCATTGGTTGATTGTTCTCACTGTCAGAAAGTTTCTCCTTATTTCCAGGTTAAATCTCTCCTTGTTCAATTTCCATCCATTATTCCTTGTCTGGCCTTCAGGTGCCTTGGAAAATAGCTTGACCCCCTTCCTCTCTGTGGCAGCCCCTCAAATATTGGAAGACTGCTACCATGTCTCCCCTGGTCCTTCTCTTCACTAGACTAGCCATGCCCAGTTCCTGTAACTGAATTGTTTTAGTCTCCAGTCCCCTAATCTTCCTGGTTGCTCTTCTCTGTACTTTTTCTAGAGTCTCAACATCTTTTTTATAATGTGGTGACCAAAACTGGATGCAGTACTCTAGATATAGTCTTATTAAGGCTTTATAGAGTGGTATTAATACCTCCCTTGATCTCGATTGTGTCCCTCTGTTAATACAACTTAGGATTGCATTAGCTTTTTTTTGGCTGCTGCTGCACACTGCTGGCTCATATTTAGCTGGTTGTCCACTAAGACTCCAAGATCCCTCTCACAGTTACTGCTATTGAGCCTGGTTTCACCCAGTCTGTATGTCTACTTTTGGTTTTTCTTGCCTAAGTGTAGGACTTTACTTTTCTCTACATTGAATTTCATTTTGTTAGGTACGGCCCAATATTCTGGTTCTTGAGCCTATCTTCTTGGGTGTTAGCTATTCTTGCCAGCTTAGTATCGAGCCTCGGCATAGGGAGGAAAATCCAACACAGGACAGATCAATTTACTTCCATGAATTAGAACTTGCAGGTGTGACTCTGGGGCAGCTAACATTGGAATTTAAAAAAAAAAACTGAGCCCAGAAAACAGCCCAACAAAAAAATTAAAAAAAGGAAAGAAAGAAAACAACAGAGCAAATCTGAAGGCGATCTTTCCCTTAAACCCTTGTAGAATGGTCTTATATAACACACCCTGGCTCAATGCCTGGCTTAGGAGCCAGTTCTTCGAAACCCTGCTCAGGAAGGAAGGGCAGCAGAGTCGAGTCCTCAGGATATCAAGGGGGAGGGGAGAGTGAGTACAGATAGTCTTCGATTTATAAACAGTTTCTTTAGTGACCATTCAAAGTTACGACGACGTTGAAAAAAGTGAGCGTTTTTCACACTCCTGACCGTTGCAACATCCCCATGGCCATGTGATCAAAATTGAGGAGCTTGGTGACTGACTCATGTTTATGAAGGTTGCAGTGGCACCTTTTGCGACCTTCTGATCATAGAATGAGGTCAAACTCCTTTAACAACTGTCTCGCTGAGCAACAGAAATCTTGGGCTCAATGGTGATCATAAGTCGAGGACTACCTGTATACTGTTCTACCGAGAATAGAGAAGCTGTACCTTCTAGATCAGTGGTCACCAACCAGTGGGCCGGGGACCACTGGTGATCTGTGAGAAAATTTTGGTGGTCCGCAGAGAAATGTCACCCCCAAAGCAATTAATCCAAGCTGCACGGAAACACAAGGCTGTGCCGCCCACATGGTCCACGGGAACACAAAGCTTGCGTCGCTTGCATTGCAAACAACATGAAGGAGTGAGCGGAGGGGGGAAAGGGCAGAGGGGACACTTGCCCACACTCACTCCAAGCACCTGGCCTGGCCACCGGGCTGCTTCTTTCCGCTTCTTTCTTCTGCTTTTGGCTGCACGCAAGGAAAGCAGCAAAAGTCTTTCTTTCTCTCCCCCAAACTCCACCAGAAATGAGTCTTTGGGATCCTGCAAGGCATCCTGCTCCAAGAGGCTGCACTGGCACGATAAGTCTCACAAAGACTCATTTCTGGCAAGTTTGGGGAAGAGAAAGAAAGACTTCTGCTGCTTCTGCTGCTTTCCTTGCATGAAGCCAAAAGTCAGCCCCTCCCTCCCTCTCTCTCTCTCTCTCTCTCTCTTTCTTTTTCTCCCCCTCTCTCTCTCTCTCTCTCTCTCTCCCTCCCTTCCCCCCCCCCCCCCCCCCCAGTTGGAGACAGTATCCTGCAATCACAAATAAAGAATGATTGATTGGTAGGAAAACAGGGTGGGGGATTTTCCTGCAGACTTTTGGGGGCATTTTCCCAGGGTCTCTGGTCCACGGGATTTAAAATGATGAGTTTGATGGTCCCTGAGATCCAAAAGGTTGGCGACCCCTGTTTTAGATCTCCTTAGATGCCATTCTTTCATAGAGGGGATCCAGAGCACATCAACCCTTTTCGGATCAGAGATGAATAGATAGGCAGTTCCTCCAACGACTTGGCCATGCGCCATGAAGAGCTTTCCAGATGGCGATCCACATCCTGGGAGCCCCAGAAGTTTGTTCTCTTGTGGTATTGCATGGAACATACCGTGATGTACCCATAGCTACCTATGCCGCTGCATTCCTGACAAGCTTTTGAGTGGTCTTCAAAGGAAGCTGGGTGTAGTGGAGCATGTTGCAACAGCCTAAGCAGGAAGTTGTGTCTGTAGATGACAAGGGCTTGTATAATTCGCTCTGAGCTTGGTCTGTAGTAGCTGACTCAGTGTGGCAGGGGCTGCCTGCCTGCTAATGAATGTTGATAGTGTTTGCCATCGCCTCCTTCTGCTATTGCCACGCCTACTTATACCCTCTTATCTTACAGTCTTCTTTCTTTTCGAGAGTCATATCAGGAGTCAGGCGGCCGGCTCAGAAAATACCAGGAGATCTGATAAGATGGCTGTAATAAAGGGATAGCTAGATTTTAGATTGTGGTGGTTTCAATAACAGTCCTAAGAACCATCGACGGCCGCCCAGTGCACACAATGTCACTCTTGGCATTAAACAATTTGTTCTGAGTGTCAAGAATAAACGGGCCCCTGTGCCACTATCTTCCATGGGAAGTACCTTTAAAAGGTCTTCATTTTGGCACTTTGAGGAGGGTGGGATGATTTTGTGGCCCCTTTGTTAAGCAGTTCGAGTCTATGGTTTACTTGCAGAAAATCTGAGACGGTCATAATCTATTTATTTTATTGATTTTTATTTATTTATTTATTTTTGTCGATTGCTTGCAAGATAATAGGCATAAGTAAAAACATAGTTATGAACACATGAATACATATAAGAAAAATAAAAAATAAAAGAAACAATAGGAGAGGGACGGTAGGCACGTTGTGGGGCTTATGCAGGCCCCCTACAGACCTCTTAGGAAAGAAGTGAGGTCAATAGTAGACAGTCTAAGGTTAAAGCTTTGGGGGTTTGGGGAAGAAACCACAGAGTCAGGTAGAGTATTCCAGACATTGACCACTCTGTTGCTGAAGTCGTATTTCATGCAAACAAGTCTGGTGTGGTTAACCTTGAGTTTGTATCTATTGTGTGCTCTTGTATTGTTATGGTTGAAGCTGAAGTATTCATTGACAGGTAGGACATTGCAATGTATGATTTTATATACTATACTTAGATCAGACTGAAGGTGGCGTAGTTCTAGGTTTTCTAGGTCTAGAATTTCAAGTCTGGTGGCATAAGGTATTCTGCAATGAGTAGAGAAGCGGAGAACTCTTCTTGTGAAATATTTCTGGACTTTCTCAATTGTGTTAATATCAGATACATGATATGGGTTCCAGACTGATGAGCTGTATTCAAGTATAGGTCTAGCAAATGTTTTGCATGCTCTAGTTAGTAGTGTGATATTATCAGAGAAGAAGCTACGTAGGATTAGGTTAACAACTCTTAATGCCTTTTTGGCAACTTGTATTTTATTTTCTGATTTTTTTGCCAATACGCAGGACAGAGCATTTAATTGTTGAGATTTGAAGTTGCCATTTGTTTGACCATTCTGATACATAGTTGAGGTCTTTTTGAAGGGTAGCAGTATTGTCTGTGGTGTTGAATAGCTTTACATCAGTGAAGAGAACGCAGTTGCTCTTGATATGATCACAGAGGTCATTTATGTAGAGTATGAAAAGAGTTGGTCCTAGAACACTGCCTTGGGGGACACCACTATTTACAGGTACAGAAATTGATAGGACGCTCCCAATTTTGACCATTTGTTGTCTGTTTGACAGGAATGTTTCTATCCAGTTATGCAGGTGTCCAGAGATGCTGTAAGATTTTAGCTTTAGGAGTAGTTTGTCGTGTACCACTGAATCAAAGGCTTTACAGAAGTCTAGGTAGATTGCATCTATTGCTTTGCCCTGATCGAGTTGTTTAGTCCATATGTTTTTGCAGTGTAAGAGTTGCAGATTGCAGGATAATTTTTTTCCTGAAACCAAATTGTTTATTAGAGAGTAGGTTGTTTGTTTCTAAGTGGAGGATGATGGATTGGTTAATAATTGATTCCATGACTTTACAGGTGATACAGCATAAAGAGATTGGTCTGTAATTTTCAACTAGGCTGGGGTCTCCCTTTTTGAAGATGGGGATGACCGTGGCTTGTGACCATAGTTTTGGCAAGGAGCTGGTCCTGAAAGATTTTTCAAAGATTATGCTTAGAGGTTTGGCTATGGCAGTGGATAGCTTTTTAAAGAAGTAGGCACATATTCCATCCGGTCCAATAGATAGAGATGGTTTTAGATTGCATAGTGCTTTTTCAACATTGTCTTCTGTAAAATCGATATGTATTAGATCATTATAGTCTGTGGTTCGATTAGGAAATACTGGGCATGATCCATTGCTGTTTACAAATACTGAGCCAAATAATGTATTAAAGAGATTGGCTTTAATGGTGTCATCATTGCAGCCTTTGCCATTAGGTCCTTTCAGAGGTGGGATGGACCTTGAGTCTTTTAGTTTGTTGTTTACAAAATTGTAGAAAGCGCGGGTGGAATTGGTGCGTGGAAGGTTTTCCTCTTGTTTAATGTGATAATTGGTGAGAATAACAGACTAACTGAGTTGGAAGGGACCTTGAAGGTCTTCTAGTCCAACCCCCTGCTCTAGCAGGGTAGCCTTGTACCATTTCAGGCAAAAGGTTGTCCAAGATCCACTCTTTATTTAACTGCTGTGACAAAGCAGAAGCCGAAACTGTAGTTCCATGTTAAAAGTGCAATTCAATCTTTGGCATCTTTGGTTATCTTTTCAAAGGAAACTATGGTGGTATGACTTTGCCTGAGGACTAGATTAAACGTTCTCTGATCGGGCAAACAGTAAATATAGGCAATTGGCAGATCGCTATCTATGTAACAACATACAGAGTTTAGGCTAGGCTCCTGGCCGCTGGTAATCTCACAAGTTCTCTTCTCAGGCAAAGATTCCTTCCTTCCTTCCTGGCATATCTACAGTACACATTGCTGTTTCTGCATCATGCATCCAATGGCCTGTTTAACCCCTTTTTGTCCCTTGTCACACTTATCTTACCAAGCAACTGTTCCCTGCTATATGGCAATAGCAATAGCACTTAGACTTATATATCGCTTCATTGTACTTTACGGATCTCTCTTAAGCGGTTTACATATTGCCTCCAACAATCTGGGTCCTCCTTTGACCGACCTCGGAAGGACAGAAGGATGAGACAACTTTGAGCCGGTGAGGATCGAATTCCCTGACAGAGAGCAGTGAGCTAGCCAGGGATGGGCTGCTGGGGGTTCGCAGGGGTTCAGGAGATCCTCTAGCTAAGATTCTGCGCAGTTCGAAGGACCCCCAAATCCTGGCTGGCCCCGCCCACCCCTCTTCTCAGGAGTCCCCACACAGCCCATTTTGGATGCAGGTAAGTGCAGGGTGCACACGGAGACTTGGGGAGAGTGAAAAACAGGCCTTCTGGAAGTTTGCGAAGGCCGGAAACCTGCCCGTTTCTGGCTTCCGGAAAGCCTCCGGAGCCCGGGGGAGGCTGTTTTCGCCCTCCTGGAAGCTTGAGGAAAGCCTCTGGAGCCCAGGGAGGGCAAAAACGCCCCCCCACCATGGTGCAGGAGGCCGACTAGGCCACGCCCACCATGGCCACACCCAGCAGAGAATCCGTTGCTAAATATTTTTGAAGCCCACCCCTGGAGCTGGCCTGCAATACTGCACTCTAACCACTGCGCTCACCACGGCTATTTGAAAGGAAAGATATGGACACGCCAGGCATAGGTAACTGCAGAAGATAAGAAGGTGCAACTATCCAGATATTGCTGGAGTGTATTCTCCACCATCAATCTCCCCACTAGCCTTGGCACTCCCCATCTCAGTCAATCTCACCACTAGCACTAGACAGCTGTGGGTGACGTGAAATCAGCAGTCCAGGTAATCCTCCGCTTACAACCATTTGTTTAGGGACTGTAAGAAGTTACAACAGCACTGAAAAATGTGACTTATGAGCATTTGTCACACTTGCAACCGCCGCAGCATCCCCAGGGTCATGAGGGATTCAGGGTGCTTGGCAACTGGCTCATAGTTATGACGGTCGCAGTGTCCCAAAAGTGATCTGCCTTTGTGACTTTCTGACAAGCAAAGTCAATGGGGAAGCCAGATTCACTTAACTGCCATGTTATTAATAACCATTTGTCTGAAATGGTATAGCACGGGGTTGGACTAGAAGACCTCTAAGGTCCTTTCCAACTCTTGTTATTCTATTCTATTCTATTCTATTCTATTCTATTCTATTCTATTCTATTCTATTCTATTCTATTCTATTCCATCCCACTCCACTCCACTCCATTCACTTAACAACTGCAGTGATTCACTTCACTGTGGCAAGCAAGGTTGTGAAATGCGGCAAACCCCGCTTAAGAACAGTCTCACTTAGCAACAGAAATGTTGGGCTTACAATTGTGGTTGTAAGACGAAGTCTGTCTGTATCTGGAGAGTGGAGCCATACATCGCAGCCTAACCTGAACATAAGGGGAGAAAAGCCAGTAGAACAACTCTTGCTACATTACTGTAATTAAAGGCCCCTATGCCATTTGGGTAGATGCGAAATGAGCAATACCTGGAGAGGCAGATGTGGCTGCTATCCTGAACATAAAGGAAGAAATCCAGTAGAACTACCCTTTCTGCATTGCTAAGGATGATCAAAGGCCTATTTGCCATTTGGGAAGATATGAACATGACGGACCAGCAACCCATGACCATGTTTATAGTATCCTGCTAATTTTTCTGTTGGAAAAATTATTGATAGGTACCAAAATTGATAGGTACCAGAATGATAGGTACCTCATTGATAGGTACCAAAAACTGGATGGAAGAAATAAAGATATTTGGGAGTAGGCCAGATATGGATGAAGTACAGCCACCCCTCAAAGCCCCACTCATTTAGAGTCAATGATGAGTGATGATGTAAAAGTTGTAATTCAGAAATATTGTTAAGAATGTAACAGTGGTGAATATCTGTAGCTCGGGTGTAAGATGAAGGTGAAGCTTTAGGACACGGGTGTCAAACTCGATTCCGTCACAGGCCGGAGCGTGACGTATCATGACTTTTTTTGCCTTTGAGGAGCCCAGGTGGGCGTGGCCTGCCAGTGATATATCCGGCCTGCGGGCTGCCAGTTTGACCCTGGTTTAGGAGATGTCAGTGTCAGTTCTTCTGTTTATAAGGACTTTGTGATGGGTTCGGACTTGTGATGAGTCAGGTGTAGGTGTGTCAAGTGAGGGTCTTTTGTGATGGGTTAGGGTTGGGACAGAGGTGGTATTCAGCACCAGTTCTGACCAGTTCTGGAGAACCGGTAGTGGAAATTTTGAGTAGTTCGGAGAACCGGCAAATACCACCTCTGACTGGCCCCGCCCCCATCTATTCTCTGCCTCCTGAGTCTCAGCTGATCGGATGGGCCTTCTTTGGTTGCCCTGCACAGGAGAACGGAGCTGGAAAGCAGGTTAGTGGGATGGGGAGGGAATGGGGATTTTACGGTAACCTTTTCCCAGGAGTGGGGAGGGAATGGGGATTTTACAGTAACCTTTTCCCAGGAGTGGGGAGGGAATGGGGATTTTGCAGTATCCTTCCCCTGCCCCTCCCACAAAACCACACCACACCCACCACACCACAGAACCAGTCGTAAAAGTTTTTGAACCCCACCACTGGATTGGGAGACCCTCACGTGGCACACCCACACACCTGACCCATCACAAAGGCCTTATAAACAGAAGAACACCGACACTGACTGTGGAGGCTGATGTGTGTGTTGGAGAGGTTTTGAGGGAGAATGTCTCTCGAAAGAAATGGAAAGTTAGAGATAATTGATGACTTAAGATTTTACTAGAGGGTTAACAACTCCAGTTCCTTTTGTTCACACAATAGATGATCATTTCAGTGCAGCATTAGTACCCTCTAACAAGCGTATGTTCATATGAACTTTCCATTCATAAAAAGCATCATCTGGTGCAGCCATCTTGGGAAAATGACCCATTTAAAAATGCATAAATACATGTCCCTCTCGTTTCCTCTTCCTCAAGATCTTCCTGCGCATTGAAAGCTAGCATCAATTGGAAGAGGAGGACTGAAGAAGATTCTGTCTCCCCAAAATATTGGTTTTCCACAGAGAAAGATTTATTTATTTATTTGATATGGTGGGACATTCTCAGACCTTAAAATCACGTCTGTTGATCTGTACCGAGCTTGGGAAGGAATCTTCTTTCAGAAGGCTGAACATCCTGATTCCTTCAGTCTCAATGAATGTTATTCGAGTACCTGCTTGCTGGGGTGTGTCTGTTTTTTTGGCAAAAAGCAACCTAGCTTGCACTGTGGGAATTTGAGCCAAGAGGAACTTTAATTGCACTCACGTGTAAAACCTTGGTTGGGTGAGAAGGGCAAGAAGATTGTGTCATTGCTTTTTCAGATGCTGGCATGTGCATCGTAATGGGTTTAAAATATTTAAATGATACCCTTGGTTTTTTTCCCAGCCACAGGCAGAAGTTCAGACAATGCAAAAGCATAACCCTTGTGACCAAACTAACCCAGTCTTAAGGTAGCCTTTGCTAAAAGCTGGCTAATAGTTGTGGAAATGCTAGCTGTGCCTCCTATGGAGGCATGGCACTTCCTCTTTGAACAGAGTGTGTGTGTGAGAGAAAATATGAGCAGATCTG